CCATATTTTTTTCTGGGTGTTATTTTCAAAGTCATATTGAACAATAGATATAGTACATCGAATGATTAGAAAGAAGTAAGTAATATGAAGAACGATAAATCACTGTTTTATACAATTTAATCGATTAATCATTTCCAGATATACATGGATTGAAATACAATTGTAGACTCTTCTCATTTAGTAATGATGACGTCAATAAGTACTATTGAAAGTTCAGTAAATTGTGAATGCCTTGTCTATGAATTACAATTTCTAATACTGTTAGTATAAAATTACTAAAGCTAACATAAGTATTGTAAACTTTATCCTATAGTATTCAACTACCATTTATATATGTAAAAGATAGATTAATAAATGTACAATTTCTATTTCAGTGGTTAAGATCATGCGTCAGTTGAAGTTAGACCACCATGGAAAACCTGGAAGCATTGGATGGCCGTTTCGTCCTACCGTGGGACTCCTCAGCACTGCACATCAATTACCTCGCACAATGCGAGATTCGAACCTAGGACCTACTGGCTTCGCGCGCAAGTACTTAACCACTAGACCACTGAGCCGGCCGGCATCCAACGGTGTTAATGTCTAACACCAACTAATCCACGAAATTAAGCGACACATCCACCATTGTCTTCAGTGAATTACTAACTCACAACAGACCTGGTTGAACTCCACTGGTCACTACTTCTCAATAGAACTTCAGGATATACCTCTTGAAGCCAGTCATTAGTGAGCATATGTTGATTAATATCAGGTGGGTTTTGTGGATAATATTAGTAATTTCAATGGTTAACAACAAGCTAAATGTAAATAATTTTATAGTTGAATTCATGAGTTAATTAAAGCTAGACCATCATGAAAAACTTGGAAGCATTATTCCAATCCACGAAATTGCGTCATCGTCCATCATTGTATTCAGTGAGTTACTATTTCAAAACAGACCTGGTTGAACTCCACTGGTTATGAATTCTTACTAGAATTCCAGAAACTATTTCTTGAAGCCAGTCACTTGTGATTATATGATGATTATTATCAGAAGGGGGTTCCATGGTGGTTTAGATTTAATGATTTATAAATTCAACTATAAAATTACTAAATGCTCCACAAAACCAACTTCTGAAAATATAAATAACTCTTAATCCCCTAAATTTTCATAACTTAGATGTAATTACTCTTTGTTCATATGCAATATGAATAGTTTACTTGAGAATTTTGGTGTTTCCATTATATCTTACGTGCTTTGTATTATTGCATACATTATATAATCAATTACCGAATATTCTGTAACAATAATTAGTTAAAAAACTCATTTTCGACCACAATATAAAGATTGGATGCATCTGAGCCAGTGGAAACGACCCTGAACCATCAAATGTCTTCAACCATTGGTTACTATAATCATCTTAACTCAAACAGTAGATTTCCATGGATCAAATGAGATGTGCTACTTTTAACGTTACCCTTTCTTCGTCTCATCGTTTCGTAGTGAGAATCATTACTACAGGTACTAGTTGTTTGATTGAACACTTTACTGCTATCACACCACGGTATAATCACCATTAAAACTTCAATATTAAACCATAAGTTTTCGCTTCTGATCTTACCGTTCTCAAACCTACCTCTCTGATATGATAGATACTAAGAGAATAAGAGTTAACACTTGATTGGTTTATTACGATAGATAACCTTGATCGCCACATTAAGGTAGCAGCTCAGGTTTGGATTTTAAATGGGAAACACTATGTACATTTATTCCTATTATTAACTACACTATATTAATTAAGAAATCTACTTTATTTACTGCTTGTCGGAAATGCATGTCCATGTATAATAAAAACAAATGCGACAACTTGAACACAAAGACGATTTACTTAAAACAAATACGTTCTACGTCCTCGTATGAAAACCCATAATTTTCAAGTGTTTGAGCAGCTGAGAATCAAATATAAGTCAACATCTTGATTAACGGGATTCTTGTCAACCTAATGGTTGACACTAGTCTATATATCATACTAATTTTTAGAGATACATGGAGCACTTTAGTATTCCCCAGGTGAACAGGATCACTTAACTTTTCAGAAATGTATCAGATGATCTAATAAAATTACCCAAAAGTTATTTGTGATGCCTATTTTAGATTCTAAACATTTCGAAGCAGATATTAATTCTCAAATCGTCACGGTTGGGATATTCAGGAAAATATCCCAAAAATTATTCTGTTAAGTCTAACGCTATCCTGGAACTTGAAATGGTGTTATTTTCTTATTGGTCAATATTTACTTCACGTGTCGTTTTCCTACTGGTCAGTATTGTACAATGTTATTTTCTATTTTATGGTACGATGTGGTCTGCTTGATTGGTATATAAACAGAGTATGTTTGAAATGTAATGATTCATATCTCTGAGGCTGAGACTTGTGTTCTGGACCAAACTGGCTGGGCTAGACAGGGAAGCGGGACCAATCAGAACCCTGGGCCGTTCTTACGTGTTTGCGCGTTTTTGGTCCGATCGATAATTCGCTGTCCTCTAATCTGCTGTCAGTTATAGCAGTCACAATCTCAAATTACTTGAAATCGACTGAATGGTAAAGTTATCATAGTGAAATATCCTATAAAATTCTGTTTACTTATAAGTATACCTAAAAAGGTTAACCATCTCAGTGAATATGACACAAAATATTTTCTCAAAAACAGGCATATTTTAAAAGGCAGGACTATACAATTCAGAAAATCAATTACAATCATTTCATATGACACTTTAGTTTAACGATATTAATAAACTGGCACGGTGACGATAACCTAGACGGTGTCACCATCAAGAAACATAGACTTCAGTGGCTTAGACAAGTGTTACGAATGGCATCTTAGATAGATAAATTTCGTGCAGTAATTGCTGATGGTAGGGTGGAATGGAAAAAGCCGATTGACCATTTTATGGCATGCCATCGTGGCAGGAAAAGACGCGTACATGGATAGTGTTTATAGCGACGTTGTGACTCCCCAATCAGGGTCCTTAGAGCATAACTACTCAACCACCCGGAAGATTGAAAACTCAAATTTTTTGATACTCGAAGCTGAATTTATTTCGGAAAACCCGTTTTAAGATGAAGCTCAAAAGAGTAGCACGTAAGAGACTACATAACTGACTATTCTTAAATTATTATCGTTACTCCATCCACTAGCGTTATTTACGGATTGAAGTCGTTCAATTCATTTGAATTCTGACCTCAATTTTCGTTAATCTAATTTAACTACTTATGAGTAGAGTAAATTAAAAGAGATGTTCAAGAGAGCACTTTGACATACAAATTTATCTAAATCAGTAGGGGTTTGTGGAGATTTTTAGAAATTTTCACAGATTGAAATCATGAGTCAGTTGAAGCTAGACCACCATTGAAAACCTGTGAAAATTTCTAAAAATCTCCACAAACCCCTTCTGATAATAATCATCTGCTCACTAGTGACTGACTTCAAGAGATACTCCTGGAGTTCTAGTGGGAAGCCGTTACCAGTGGAGTTCAACCAGGTCTGTTGTGAGACATCAGCTCACTGAAGACAATGGTATATGGTGGCGCAACTTCGTGGATTGGTTGAAGTTAGACATTAACACCGATAGATGCCGGCAGGCTCAGTGGTCTAATGGTTAAGTGCTCGTGCGCGAAGCCAGTAGGTCCTGAGTTCGGGCCCCGCGTGGTGCGGGATCGTGGATGCGCACTGCTGAGGAGTCCCATACTAGGACGAAACGGCCGTCCAGTGCTTCCAGGTTTTCAATGGTGATCTAGCTTCAACTGACTCATGATTTTATCTAAATCAATTGAGAAAACTTTTGTCACTGATTATTAAACGAATTGTTAGTGACATCCCTAAAAATACTCTGTATTTCTTTGCCCCATAGATTTACGGTGCCAACAGTAAGGGTTGCAAAGTACGGAGCTAACACATTAAAACCTGTGACAAAAAAGCTGTATCTGACAGGTCCCAAACAACTGTTATGCTCACGCTCCTAGGTCATCAAGACCACTTGTAATCCGAATCGCTCGTCAGGCGCCTCAAAAGGTATTCTTCTTTGATGTGCATGACCGATATGCGATAACTACCCATACTATCTCTAACAATATTTGCATCTAACTTAGCTTTTGGCAATGTAGTATCCATAGCTCTTACGCAAACAGTGCTAAGCTCAAAGCTGATTAGTACATAAACTATTAGAGCATATAAACTTTGTATATAAGTTATCAGAAAATTGTAGTTGTCATTCAGTGGTTAAGGCATTCAATTCTCAGTCACTAAGTCACAAGTCCGAACCCTCCTCCATCTACCTCAGTTTGCGGGAACGCATAGTACAACTAATCTTCACAATTAATGTAACTACTAACCAACTACATGAATCTGTACCTGTTATGGAATATGTTTTCTGTGTGATGTGAAATATCTATTGTTTAAACTGATGGACAGAATGCTAATCGATAGATGAACGTAATGATATAATGTGACCAAGTAATAGCTACTCACAAGACTATATTATTGCTTTAAGGTCCCGAAAGACAAGACAACTAGTCAAATGAATAGGCTTTTTAGATGGAATAAAATAACATCCTTAGATACAAAATATGACCAGAAAATAAACATGGTAAAATGTTATATGTAATTGAAGGAAATTAACTTGTAGGTCATTCATTCTTCAATAAATTACGAGTATTAGGCCTAAATCTTTGAGAATTGTATCAATACACACCTAGTAAATGGTTTAACAATAATATTATGAAAGACAGTAGTAGTGTGGTGTGGGTTACTTATATCCATACAAGTAATATATAACGGTGGTCAGGTATAGAATGTATTTCAGTAGAAAGTCGATGAGGAAAGAACGGGAACAGAACGCAATTGGTATGAAAACGCATGAACAATAAAATGTGAGACAACGAATTGATGTTTGCAACATGAACAGTCAAGTTTGAGATAATGGATTGATATTTTGCAAATTAACGATTTACTATATGGTTCTCAGATTTTATTGAGATACTCTGTCATTTCGTATCGAATACATTCGATTGTCCCCACTGGTGTTCTGTTCACTAAAGTAGTAGTAGAAGTAGCAGTAGTACTATGAATTATCAATATATTTCTCTCTAAAAGATACAAAAATAATCCAAAATCAAATAAAATGAGTCCCAATAGGAATTGCATAAAGCATTAAATCATAAACTGTCAAAGAAAAGAAACTAGCACTACTGTTATTATTATTAGTAGTAGTAGTAATAGTTAATAGTAGTATTAATAATAAGATAATAAAAAACTATATTGTTCAAAAAACCAAAACATTAAACCTGTCGTTAATGTAGCCTTTAAAGCTGATGGTATCCAACCTTTATACAAACCATAAATACCATGTTCTTTAAAGATATCTATTAAACAATAGAATGAAGCGAAAAATTGATTATAGTTTAATTGTGTTAAATTAATATTTTTATATGTGGATAATGTATAACCTTTAGGCAATTGACCGAATGTTAAACGAGCTTTTTCAAATCCACGTATTTCTAAACGTTTTTTAGCTAAATCAAGAGGATATACAATTGTCTTAGCTAAGAGACCAGAGAATCCACCAGCCCAAAGTGGAAAATGCCAGTTTAACTGTTGATGAGGATGGTGATCAGTCTCCAATGATGATTCATGACCTAAAAAGAAATATATATACGTGATTTTAAAAAAGATGTATTAATCATTTTACGATATCTCACTAATGAATCGAATTGATCAGCTATTTTCGGAACACAAACCACATTTATGAATACCTCATTATAACAGAGAGAGAGGAGGCTAAAAAAGGTCGGCCAAAAATACAGTACACCTCAGCTTCCCCTAAACGATTTCTGTCACCTCTAAAGTATGGAAATAACACATCTAAAACTACTCATAAAGTTCAGTGTGATCGGCCTCAAGCAGTTGTCCCTCAGGCACCGCTGTCATGCTATCAGAAAGTCATGATCACTCATACACATAATTTGGGTTTCTTTTCAGATAACCTTAAGAAGTGTTCTTATGGTGTAAGTAACCAGGAGGTGACAATCTCCCTCTCGCATCATTATATAAATGTCTTCTGTAACTCGATCGATTACAAAGTAGACTTCATTTGACAGAGCATGACATTAAAATCTAATGCGCACATATAGTTTTATTTATCACCCATTAATAGCGAACAATGAGATAACTCAAACCCTTATCAGTAATCATATAAGCTATCCCAAATGGAAATCCCAATAACTAACTAAAACAAATGGAATCTAAAATAGCTTTATTTATCCGATAAATTTAACTTCAAACTAAATGCAATGATTTCTTATAAACTCAAAAAGTACTTTGTCTTAACTTCTTGTAATGATACACTGACTGCAGTTTTAGTCGAAATAATTAAACATTCCTTAATGAATTTACGAAATTTTGTCAATATAATCTAACCGATTGTTCAGTTTTAAAACATTCTTAACAAGATAACCAACCTAGGTTTAGAACATACAGGAGTGGAGTCAAGATAACTAACGTTGAAAAACTTAGGTTATGATAGGATTGGAATCGCCAGCCTTAAGGTTATTCGATCTTGAACTTCTATGGACTGAATAAATATAGGATGCAACTGCTAACCACGTCTTAAGCTGGTATTTGTTCTGAACCTTCCAATAAATGAAAGCATACAACTGTTGTAGTGGACACTACTCACAAGGATGTTTTGTAAATCGAGTGTATTGGAACGTTGCATCGAAGTTGCAACACTTGTCGGACAGTGCAAATTTTTAGTGCATCGAAAGCACGGCGTTGGAAGAACACTTGGAGACCGGTTGAGAAGATAGTTCAGATTGCAGAACACAACGGAAGATGCAAATGGATATCTAATGGTAATGTATATGTATTATGCAATGCTTTGTAACTTCTAGCACAAATATACATACCTCGTGCCAGCTGTCGTGTTTTATATTATTATCGTATAGTCCAGTTTTCAGGAAAGAGTTCTTTTGATTCATATTAATAATGAAGTATGTCAACTTGGGTTATTTCGAATAGTTTAACTATGAAAAGTATTGATAACCACTTCGAAAGACACAATACAACCATAGATAAATACTTGAAATATATGTTGATTGGACGAGTACGAATAGGAACTAAATGTATGCACTAGTCAAACTCCACAGTGAATTTACCTCTTGTACTGAGTTCGCTTTTCTTCCAAACAAATCTCTCATTAGATCTGTTTGTTAATACCATATATAAATATTAAAGAAAATCGGTTTAACTTACCAACATCGTTATTTAAAGAAGCGGATTTATGCTTCATAGGGATATTCTCTTTTGATTTCAATAGAATATGAGAACGCTTCAATTGTTCATAAACTGTAAAATAAACAGTTGTTTGTGGTACTACTGATATAAGACATGGTCCAAGTCCTCGCCATAAGCCAAATAATCCTTCTTCATGAATAAGATGACGCATACCACATAGGAAGCCTGAATAAACCTTCATTTCAAAACACAAAATAAATTCATGTAAACATTAGTCTCTTATTTTGTAGTAATAACAGTTTACTTCACCGTATATGTTCACATTCATGCAACTGTCATAAAATTGTCTGTACTTGTTAAATCTGAGAAAGAAACATAAGTGATCTGTCGAGTAAATGTCTGCATTGAAGTTATACAAACTTTAACCAAGAAAATTTAGGTTAAATCCATCTTATTCCCTTCAAAATATTTTCATTTGTCCAATACATCCATATAAATCTACCAAAGTCACTCTTCAGTTGTCTTATCATTTTTACGTCACGCTAGAATAATGTGAATTTAGGTGACTGGCAATCGTTTAAACATTGAATTAGCCACTGGACACAACATGAGACGTCAACAATGATCATCATAACCTCACCCCATACCCACGGTCTTCACAACCTTCACAGAAACCCTTGATCTATTTAAAAATAACTGTTATCTTCAATAGATTACAACTATATAAATAACGTCCCATAAATTTCCTGACAATTTCACCTAAATCTAATAAAAAATTGTAGTAGTAGTTTGGTTACTGTATTTTCTGAACAGACCATCTATACTTAGTTTATTTACTACTGACAGTTTTCAAAACATTATTTATAACTGTGAAAATATTCAAAGTACCGAATGACTGTACTGATTACCTGGTACTTTGATCGAGTAGTAATGTACACTATGGTAACATTTTGCAAATCCAATTAAATGGAGAAAGAAAACAATATATATGGGAACCCTTCTTTGTTGAGACTTACAGTTCGCCAGTATTTCAATTACGACTTAACTTTGATAAACATTTTAATTTGGACTTGATTTGATTTGTAAAAACAATGAAATTATTCCCCAGATTATGTTTAATGAATTCAGGGTCTAAAATGTTCGCTTAAACAGTTGAAGGCATTGGGTTCAATTTGGCAAGAAATTTAAATATCCATATTTATTTACTGCTAGTAATTATGTCACTAGTATTGTAAGCAATAAATTCTTTTTTCAATACACTGATATTACTGAGATACAACGTACAGTTATCATTTACATGTAGTTCATATCAACCGAATAGAAGGATGAGAATAATCTCGAAAAAAGGTTGAAGGCTCGAATCACTGAGTCACATATATTTATCCCAACATTTTAGGGCTTCATAATATCTTAATTTGACAAGATATGATAACAAGAACACAAATAATTAGCCATCTATAAGTTTACACACTATTATACAGGTTACAGTTATTGTATGAAATAATTATTCTATCTTACTACTCAAAAACCGCTAGATAGGACTACAGTTACATTCAAAATGAGTAAAAAGCTGATCCACTATTCTAGAAGTATTTATCTGAAACATCCATACTCATGTAATGGCTTGCTTTACTGTGGCTTTTTGTCCAGACAAACAACTTTAACAAATTGAAGATTAAAACACTCGAGAAAAACAAGCTTCGAACCCCTGTTTTTACTTAATTTGGCTAAGGTAGTTATGTATTCCCAGCAATCTACATATAGTATGGGTTAAAACCAAGTACATAAATCTACATGTAGTAAATAAGTTACGTTACTGTTATCTATCTCAGCCATAAAAAAATCCAGCACGCACATACACAAACTTTCCATCCTTATGAACAAAACTGTAAAGCACATAGTCAACAATTCTCTTTAGAAAACCTATAAATGGTTACCTGATTTTTACCTTGAGCTATAAGTCGTGTCCTCATAACATCTAATGGTTCACTTAGTGTAGACGCAATCAGACCAGTTACACTACCGGCTATCATATCATGCACCCATCCAGATGATGAGCTAAGATTTATTTGGTTGGTTAGTAAATTTTCAATGGCATAAAAACTCCCAAACTAAAATGTAAGATTATTTGCAAAAGAAGATTACATTAGTATTTTCAAATAATACAGAGACTGATAGGGTTGATGAAATAAACATGAAAGTTTGAATTATCGCTGTACTAAAACACATAATTCTCGACTTAATAGTTTGCTACTAATATTTGTACTGCCACACTACTGCTGTAATTAGATATGTCGCACCTGATTACTAACTAAATTTTGGTTCTTTTACACATATAGAGTTCTATGTCCATTTTTGTTATGTGGATGAAAAGTTTATCTATCTACGTCTCATCACATTAGCTATTCCGATGAATATTCTGAATTAGATGTGAAGTGTAGTGAAAAAACTGGTTAATTAGTAAAACATTTCGCCAGTAGTGTCAAATATGGTTCGCTAATAACAAAGAAGTAGTAATTCTTGCAAGAAACTAATCAAAATGTGAACAATATAATCTCCTATGCTGTAACAGGTATGAGAACGGATGTCTATTTCCGAATGCGCACACTGTGGAAAAATACTTCTTCGTGAGGCACATGAGAAGGAAACTGGGTTAGTAGTAGTCTTAGTGACCTAGGAGCGTAACCACAGAATCCAGGGGACAATGGCTTGAAGCTCGTCATACATTTCTTTTCATGAGAAGTTTAAGATTTATTAGCTCCGTAGCTTAAAAGCCTTACTTCTGGAGACGAAAATCCGTGGGTTGAGATGAGGTGTAATATTTTTGGGCTCGACCTTTCCTAAATCCTCCCTTCCTTTGTGATAAGAAAGCATAGCTGAAAGTGCTGGTTGTCTGAAGGGGATAATTTACTGCTATCACACTCCTCTATATCCAGTAGTACGACTCCGTTTTCAAACTTTAAGTTACTGCTTCTAGCTTTACCGTTCTCCAACCGACCTACCCGACATAGGAACAAGTGTTTCAGTCAATATAGCTCGGGTGAGTTATTAAAATAGGCATCAAAGTGACAGCTACGGATGGGGCAGAGAAATAATCCCTAAACAACAAACAAGAGGTGATAATCGAACATCAACATCCTGGTTTCATGAATGTCATTCGCCAGAAATAATGAAAAGTAAGTTTAATTTCAAGCATAGTGAAATACAGTAATATATTTATATAAAGAAACTTTGAGTAGTGAAGAAGGTAGGCTTTTTCGATAAAAACCTTTATTGTAAGTGGTATAGGAAAGTGTCGAAGTTATGACAGACCAAAGGACCAATTACATTATGCAGAGATCCATGAAAAAGTAACCATTTTTTAGCTTAACAGTCACAGGTTGATGTATCGCTATAAACTTGCCACAGTATTCACTATATTTCTAGATTGTAGGCAACAGTGAAATTTAAGACATGCATTTCGTCTTATTTGAAACTAGTCAGCTGAATGTACTTGTTTCGCAATGATAATGTTCACAGTGAGACGCGAACCCAGTACTTATAGATTTGAGGGTCAACATATTATTTCAGATAGCTACTAATTCGGGAGAATCCCAAATTATTCCTAAAGCTGTAAACAACATCGTGTCATCTGTTCAAGGTGCACACATGCAGCGATCGATCAAATGTAATCCTGAACATAAAAACACAGGAAAACACAAACCCTTACAGATAAACAAAATATTTATCTCAAGAATCTGCAGAATAATCATCTACAACAGTAGAGTTGAAAATGAACGGTTTTGTTAACATAAATAAATGGAGTAGTGTGTTAAATAAGTGTGCATTACTGACCAAAGAGAAGAACTAGGTGAACATTTTTAGGTAAATTTGAACACTTAAGTATCAATCACAAAAAAATGCACCTCAATCGAATTAAAGATGGTAGATATAGTTTGATTATTAGCACTAATAAAAACGGTTTGTTATCAAATAATCAATATGTAGCACTAGCTACTACTGTCTTACAACTGAATTATTGGTCATCTTACATCCCATTAAAATCTAAAACCTACAACAATCGATAACTGTCAAGATCAACACTCATCTACGTATCTACTTTAATTTTATATACAGTATTCAGCAAGGTAAAAAGATAATTACTATTAATTTTATGCTACCACTTACTTGTGCTCCACAAAATGTAATAGAAAGAAATTGTGCTGGTACATGACCCTTCCATAGACCATATACACCTTCTTCTTTGTAAATACGAATGAATGCCTGTAATAGGCCAGTGTAATATGATTTTCCTGAGGGCTTAATATCTTCAACTTGTAACTGAATTATAGTTGTTTTTAACACAAGCATAGAATACAAAAACTCACTTGAAAACGAATTTTTATAACATCTAATGGTTGAGTTAGAAAACGGACAGTAAAACCGGACAAGCTTCCAGCAATTAAATTTTTTGTGTCACTTTTCATACTCTAAAAATACAAGTAAGTACTGAGTAAATAATTTAGCAAGTCTAGCTTATATTTGAATGACAAATTATTATAGTTTAATGTTCTAAAACATACTGAAAAATGAACAGACATAATAGAATATAAGCAAAAAATTTGCTGTTAAATTAGATAGCCTATAATTAGAAGTGTAATATAAATATTGGTTTGAACATTCGACTTTGAGATGGAGATTTGTAGCTCAGATGGATGATTTTGGTGGCTTTCAACGTGATACCAGGTTTTGAGTAGACAAGTTTTATTATCATTCTCTACACACACAATTACATAGCTCAAAACCAAAGCGATAAAGTTGTACTAGATCAGTAACGACACCTTAACTTACGTTTTATGAAAAATGAATTTGTTACAGCCATCAACTTTGGTCCCTTGTATTTTACTTGACAGCAGATTACATCAAGTGTTTTGCTTTTATAAAAATTAAGGTGAAGTACTACTTGAAGTATATTATGTTTATGAACCAATCGGATCTAAAACAAAGGCCGCTGAGTTTTAGCGCGAGATCTAAAACTAGGTGACGTAGTTTGTACCTTATTAACAGTTACATAGGATCTAAGACCCAGTATTCAGTGTGGCGCATATATATTGGCGCTCTCTTGTACCAATATTCATGTGTTCAAATAAATAAATAAATTAGTTTGACAACCTATTTATTTGGATTAACTTGGCGATAGTTACTGACCAAACATTTGTACCCAGTTTTGTAGACTGAACTAATGATTGTACCTCCCCAGTCTCGTGGTAGTTTTTGACAACTTCAGGGACATATTGAAGGGTATTGCCAGTCAATCGGCAATTATATCAGCTAGGGCTCCCATGATTTGAGGATAGATATAACCAGAACCACTGGACTTATCCTGCTCGAGATGTTGAATTACTTGTAGAACTCACTTCCTAATAAACAAAGAATCCATCGACAGAAAACTGTTATTGGAGTTAACTGCTGGTCTTCCACCGTCGTCAGTAGAAAACACTGCTAAAATATTTTAACAAGGCATCAGTTTTCTCAATTTCATTACTTACTAATGTCAGTGGATTTGTCTGCAACTTTACTTATTTACTTATTTAAACCCAACATTGGTACAAGGAGGCATCAAATAGATACGTGCCACATGAATCATTCGATTTGTGTGAGGGCTGTGACATTGCCCGGGTACCCAAACCGAAGTAGGTGGTTTTCTTAGGGGGGCACACCCCGAGCCTTCGATCTAGAGTTCCAACCCACGAGGCAGTGGAGCAACGTTAAGAGATACAGTCCCCACAGCATCCAGCAGACAAGGATAGATCCATACGTCATTTGTTTCTTCAGGATCCTGGAGCCCATATGAACCATTGGTTTGGAATCAGGGTTTTCCAACTCCTCTAGGTGGATCCTCCGTACCCACTAACCCAGTTAAAGCGCCGGACATTCACTTTTTGTCCTTTCAGTATCGTAAACACCCCCGCCGCGAGGAGGCAGTGAGAACTTCCCTGGCAGTGTTTGTATGAACGTGGCCATGTGAGAGCACTTCGAGAGGGAGAGCTGACTCTACCCACTCTCGACCGTACCAGGGTATTTGGGGGTGACGGAAGTGACTATATCCCATTACTTCTCTGAGTTCACCTCTTCATACATGAGGACAACCATTTGAAACTATGTTGAGAACCCCAGACTGGTTGTTTATCATATGAGAATATCGGCTTACCTATCAGCACTCTCTGTGTTCATAGTCTTCAGATAAGTAGATTTGAACTATTCAGAGTCTGAAGAAATGGACATATCGTGGCGTTTTCTCCTGATCTCTTGTTATCTATGGTGAATGGTTTTTAGGTCCACGACGTTTTAACCATAGTATAAAAAAGGACGTAACTGAGCTGTGTCCTTTTCAATAAAGACCACACTTCTCCAATTGACGAACTAGTATAAAATGACCAGTCCGTTACTACAGCGTAATCCTTCATGACCGAAATGTTAATTCTCCATAAATTTGAGGGAGATCGAACCTTAGAAACAACTGTCACAAGCTCTGAACCTGAATGGCAAACCATTATGATCACTATTAGCCTACTGTGCGGGGATATTTAGACCAGTAATACTTTCGGTTTCACGAGTGATCACTAAATCCAGCAAAGACGCGTGGTTTGAACCACAAGATGTGTGTTAACATACATGTTGTTTTAGAGCACCATTAACCACAATCGTAAGGAACCTACTACCGAATGTACTATCGGATACTACGGTGGACATCAGTTCCCAGTTAATATTAGGGGCATTTAAATCTCCTAATACTGAGCACCAATCACTTTTACGCTGTGATTTTTTATGATCTAAAATGAAGTTTCTAATTGAGCACACATACACAACCATTAGTCTATTCGAGGAAGAAACATTAGAAAACAAATACATTAAGGATGATAGTAATGATAATAATTTCGATTCTAATCGGAATGGCTTTATGCTTTATCATTGTGGTTATTACCAGAGTCATTCCAGCTTTAAATCCAAACCTTAATCCCAAGTACCCTATTTCCTAACCTTTTCTCCTATCCCCATAAGGCTAGTCATTTTTCCTAATATAAACCACATCAAATAGAAAATAAAACGTTTTCTATTTGCTTACAATTTACACTCCTTTTTCCTCGAGTTCGCCACTATTACCCCTCTTTTGTTTGTTTTGATATTACGTAACTAATGATTCTAACCCTTTCTCACTCGTCATGACAAATAATTAAGCATAAAGGTTTGCTAGCAATCCCAAAACTATTTATCCTGTGTTATTCGACTTCTTCCTTATCATATATCCTCTTACGAAACCAGTTACCTAGCTTTTTGGCCGATCAAGGTCATCGGTATGCTTTACTTCTACCGCCGTGACACGGAAGACGAATAGAAAAACTAGGTATATAACCAATGTTTATCTCTACTGCTTAGCAATACAGGGAATAACGTCTGACTCCTATATACACGAATCAAGACTTTATTAATGCATCACAAGGTGAGCCTTACATAAATTCTCAATTGATCTAATATCCAATATATAAACTGACTGATTTATTTGCTTTCGCTTCTTGCCATTTCGTTAGGATTCTAGGTAATTGACAATGTTCAATATGTGTTAGTCTGGCAATTTGACCGCAATGATTCTAGTCAGGTAATTAGTTATTTGTGGATTTTTATATCTTGTTATTTGAGTGAGTGGCTTTGTTTCAGAGTAGTAGGCTCTCCGGATACTAGCAGTTATCATATTGTAGTGACTCACATTTATCACGAGAACACGACTGGTTTAATAAAAACAATTATTATTATAACCAACTGTACCAGTGTTTGTTTTAATGTGCTTTTGTTTGACTGTGCTAATGACAGCTATATTGTGCTTCCATTCTTATTCTTACACTTTGATTGTGACTTCGCGCGAATTCGGTTACGTTCTGTAACCAAGCTTGTATCCTGGCACGATCTCGGTATCCTTTCGATACCACTAGATCGCCAGCAAATATATCTCGACTTGGTCCATTAACTGCCTTCTGATATTTGGCTTCTCGGGGATTTTATGGATTTATTTGGTTACGTTCAACCTTCGCCTTCTGATTTACTTGGCACGTATTTTTGGTAGCGGCGTTCATAGTCACCTTCGACTCGACGCCACGCTACAATATTACCAAGAAAGATGATGGTTGGTCGCAATGACAGAATAGTTAAGTGATGGTTTGAGTGTTAAGAGAAGACGATGAAGTTGGTTAGTAGATTTCATGTAAGGTATAACTTGTCTAATATTAGCGTAACTTTGTATGGAAAGCAGCAGTTTTTCGGCAGCCATCAGTGGGGTAGGTACACTTTATTAATCGTGGTCGATAATGTTGGAGTTTAGTCCACCCAAATTGAAAATAGACATCCTAGAGACGAATAACGTTTTTGTGTAAGCTATAGAAGTTGAAGATTTTTTTATTGGAAGATGAAACGGATAGTCTGTTCCATGAGTGCTGTACAGAAGAGGAGTTGACGAGCGACTTAAAAATTGGCAGGCTGAAAGATTTAGATAGGTATAACGGATTCGAAATCTGCTACTTACACTTTTAATCGTGGTTGACAAATCGTTTTATTCGCAATCTATATTCGATTAGTTATCGATTGTTTCCGTCATGATGTTTAAGTCCATTTTGTTTGTTTATTGGGCTCTTCTTCTCCTCCCAATCCACTCTGTTCTAGCTTTCTTTACACACTCTGCTCTGCATCCTCCACGAGCACTAGAACTATCCTCAGACTCGAAGTGACCGTCCACATATTTGGCTTGTCTATCAAAGACCGGACGAAAATAGATACCAAGAGAAGCATAGTGACGTTCTTTGGTATATGTGTAAACTTTGGACAAAATGTTTTAGATACGTCTCGAAACTTGCGGTTAACATGTAGAATTATGGTGTGGATTGCTACTAGTACTGTTATAATAAAAGGACTAATCCTAAAATTGCAGATTTGTCATGATGCAATTAATTAATCTATGAGATCTTACGCGGAAGTCCGACGATTGTCTAGACTGACTCGTAATTATGTGCTTCGCTTCAGAGATCGTGTGCTTAGTAACCAACTCCACTACAAAATACAAAAGGAAGACTCAGGCAATTTAGGAGTTAACCTTACTAAGACATGAAAAAGAAGAATATATTTGTAAAATGAATTTTAAGTAAATCCAACGTTTCGCCTGGCAATCTGGTCCAAGCTTTTTCAAGGAAAATATAATCAAACAACAAAATTATCGAATATAAATAGGTACAAGGTTCTTCGGTTTACTGTATACTGAATAAGTCATCCAATCAACGTGAAGGATTTTTTATAAATAGGTATTTGTATTAATGTGTAAGAGACATGTTTATATGGAAAAAACTATATGAAAATAATAAAGGTTAAACAAATAAAAGTTCATTTGAAAATAACCAAGGGGAGAGAAGAATAAGAAATTGTCGTGTTATCCTAGGCCATAGAATTACTTAAGGATTACAAGGTCAATTCAAGGTTATGACAAATTGTTTTCGTACACATAAGGACAAGGTATGTGTTATGGAACCAAAAAGTGTTAAGACAACAGAATGTGTTTATACGCAAGTGCTGTGAAAAGAAATTTCATTCAACTAAATATTGACTTCGGTATGTGTATATTAGGAAAAACAGATCATTTTTATACATGAAATGAATCAAAAAATGCCACAAAACTGCATTGTGCTAAAAGTTGGCCCAAGTCATGACTGTTCAGAATGAAGACTGGAGGCACGAGATACTTCAAAGAAGATACTTCATATACGACAGAGAGGAATGATGGCCTTTTTTTGGAACTCTTCAAGCGTGGCAGTGAGAATACACACAAGGAAGGATTAATATATTTGGATAGTGACAGGGATAAACTACAACAAAGTTTCTGATAATGTTTTCAAGACTTCTTGATAAGTCACTTGCGCGCACTGATCTAGCACAATCGAACACATCTGCGTCCCACTCAGACATCATAGGTCTTCTACATGTATAGATCAAATTAGACTCAAAGTTCAGCTTGACTTACTTTCCTTCTTTGCAGTCGTATTAGATACGTTTGTAACAGCTTAGGTTGGTTGGTCAAGAGTTGACCACAAACAACCAAGCATATGCCAAAACAGTATTGTTCAAGTATTCATTCACTTCCTTAGTTTGTATAAGCGTTATATTCCCTATTATCTTACATTGAATGTTGAGAGCCATTGTTTGTCTGAACAGATAATCCCACGCTCCACTGTGACTGCGCGAAGATCGAAATAAATACCTATTCACTACTTGTACTGTTCCAATACGGCACTTTGACATATCAATCCGTCCTCCTGTTATCTTTCTCTCATATCTGAGCAACTTATGGCCAACAAACATCGTATTGAAGGGGGTTTTGGTGAACAAAAACGCAGGCCCCACGCACTCGAACCTCTGCCCTCCTGAATGCTGGACCGTGTACCTAGCCATTAGACCACATCAAACCACGGGGGGATGACTGCAATTTTTCCTTTTACCGATTAATCATTCATAATACAAATGAGTAATAGGACTAACACACTTCTAAGGTGCAGACAAAATCGTTACTTGGATGAATTGACGAAGTATTGCTTCAATATATCATACGTATTTAAATCAAACCAGAAAAGATTGTTTGACACAACTGTGCTTGATTCTCATAATCCACACAATTTTTGTGGAGTACAATTATGCACCCTTGGTTACGTACCTGGTTATAAAAGGCGGTCGTCACAGGCCCAAGGTCATACATTTGATCGGGTTTGACAATGAGTCCAACTTCTAGCAATTTTACACTTTTACATATGTGCATTACAAAAAAGTACTTTTTTTGTTTTCATATCTTTTCGTACACAAGATGGCTACACTATGTCTATTTCCTTCCAGAATACCAATCCTTTCTGGAGGCCAATCACTTACGTGGAACCGAACAATTACCAATTATATTTATGTATTTCCATTTTGTATCTTATTATTTTTATGCAGGCAGTCGAGCAGTTCTTCAGGTTTGATTGGTTTTCACCATTACCTTTGAAGTAGATTCTTCTTTACCTTTTACTTGAGGGCAACTCAAGAGGCAGGTGAGTAAACACCTGATAGCCGGTCTGAGCATGGAAAAATCGTACCTCATCAACATGGTGTTGGGTAGCCCGCTCGCAGCACTTCCTCAGATATTCTTGTTTCACATTCTCATACTTTCTCTTGAAAGCACGCAGCAAACCGTCAGCGATAGTTGTAGAGGAATCACATGCTACAAAATAAGATGACAAGCTAGTAAATGAAGAGACATCCATGGACTATCGTTGACAGCGTTAGTCGTAACTGACTGTAAGTCAAATAGTGAGCGAGTTGATAATTTTCCCTTGGGATGAGAAATAGAACTAACGTCATATCTTACTACAATAATAAGTTATTTTTTCTCAATTACTTTCTATTTTATGTTTTAATACTAAGTTGACGATATATACACAGTCGTTTATTCTTGTTCTGTGTTCATAAGCACGCCTATTAAACTACTTGCGCATTTGACGTCTCCTTTATTTCTATTGCCTTAATTTCTTCCTCTCCTTCTTTAAACTCAATTCAATATTCTTCTCAATTACACAGAACCAAATTAATTATTACTATTCTATTATTATTCTATTTTTCAAATATGGCAAATATAATGCTAACATTACTGAAACCGAAATCGGTAAGGCAAGAGTAGTGCAACCGACAGACTATGTTTCTGTTTCAGTTGATTTCGATTAATAACACACTTTACGGGGCCCAAAGCGAAGCCATACAAAGTGAACTCGTCACACAACGAAAAACGCATATTTTCCAGCTTCCGTAGGACTAGCAACCTAGTCGAACAATTTCGTGGTGAGTAATTTACAGGGGTTCAGCCAGTATTATTTGAAAAATGAACGGTAACAAGTATTAACCAAGAGGAATTCACCACCTTTTCACTAGGGGTCGCCAAAAGTAAAAAACATTCTTCAGATGTTGTCGTTAATGTTACAACTACTGTTCGATGACTTGCTCATAGCGGGCGGTGTTGACAGTTCATATGTAAATCTTAAACAAGATGAGGTTCAACAAACAACTAACAGACACCGTCAAAATTTAGGGCTAATGGAACATACATTGAGTGTCACAAGATAGAGGAACGGCGGAAAAACATTCTAACCAAACAACCAGCTGTCAAATAACCTTCGGTTGGTCGAAAACGAGAACAACCTAAATAAGGTGAGACTTGAAACAGATGGTAAACCCTACTGAAAGGCTCTAACCATTACCTGCATAAACTAATTCAGAAAGAGGTCAGTCATATGATCAAGGATTGACAAGAAATCTTTCAAACAAGCTTGTTTCTAACGAGAAGTAGAGGTTTGAGAATTTTTTTCACTGAGAGAACTCGGAGTGAAACTGTCTATTATTTTAAAGTTGTCGAAATCCTCAATTTGGACCTTGCTGAACAAAACAGTCACTTGCACCGCCGTAGAGGTCCGATAGTAAGGAGCAGTATGAAGGAAGGATTAGGGCCAATACACTCAACCAGCGAGTCACCCGAGCTACAGTAGCTTGCTCACCATCGTACCAAAACAACGTAACGAAGCCCTTTGCCATCTGGTGTTTGACATTTTGCAACAGTCCTCAGACTGTAAGCCGTTAACCAGTGAGTCGGTATAAAAAATCCAGTCTCTTATCTCAAAGGATAAAAACTGAAAACATCCGGGTTCTTAAACGTCTTCAGAGCCACTTCCAGAACTCTCGAGACTATTGAAAAATTTAATGGGCGACCACATGATGGAGTCCACGAACGTTCATAAACTATTTTACGACGTACAACACGAATTCAGGAATAGCACATTGTGCACCCTGAACGCCTTATTGTCATGGGACAGCTGGATAGACCACCGGCATCAGGAAGTCCCAGTACATGCAATATTACGGAACACTGTTCAAGCGTTTAATACTGCGCTACTCTATCCTCTCTTGGTTAAATCTAAGTAAATATAACTTACAGACCTAATATTTTCTTGATTAAGGAACCACTCATATGCACAAAACTTCTGCAAGAAATTTGGGATAGTGAATTCAAGTTCCAGCGTTTATGTCTACGGTTCCAAAAGGCTCTATAATAGGCTCTTTGCTGTCCCAAACATTCGCCAACTTTTCTTAGTTCCCATGTGCGCAGACGATATCAAACTATGTACAGCTGTCAGATGTGGGGCTAATCGACGTACGTTTTAAGGAGGCCCAACATGGCTGGGGGAGCAAACACAAGAGTAGCATGACACTCAATCCCTAGAAATGTCAGATGGTTTGGTTTCAAACAATGGAGGAAACCAAAATCGACTATATCTGTGGTTACCCCCACTCCAGAATCTCAAAAGGCGTGATATGGTGGGTCAGTCAGAAGTGGTCAACTGGGTAGATCAACTGACGGCAATGAAGTGTGACCTGAAGGACAGTGCACATCATTGGCTAAGAAATGGGTTTGTTTTCTTAGGGATAGAGATGTAGGCACATAAATGAGTATTTGTTCATATTATCCATATATTAGTCCAATACAATTTATCGTCTACTCCTGAGTTCTCGTTCAAGTGTTCGGACGGGGATTAACATGCAGCATGTCGGTATCAATAACAGATTTCGGACCCCCATCCTAAGGAAGCGATCTATATCTGTTGCTAACAGACAGCCTGGGCATGAGAGACAGCTACTAAGGAGACGAAGCCAAAACCCACTCTACTCCTTTATTGATGAAGATTTGGTCTCTGTGCTGGATGGTTTGTTCGCGGAACATTCATCGTTATTCTGAAAGAAATCACCGGCAAAAACTTCAGGTAGAAGTGAAGTGTTCGAATTACTCCACATATGCTTACCATCTTGTCCTGTTGACCACGATGTTTATTGATTATTGGATCGATTTGAATGTGTTTGTTGAGTGCTAACTGACCTGAGTGTCAAGCTTCTAAAGATTCTCTTGTGTTTTTTAGAATGGCATCTATCCAAGATCTCAAAAAAATTTTCAGTCGAATGTGTGTCCATAGTTGTCCACATCCATTGATATAAGTGAGGATATGTCGTGGCGTTGACCACTAGTTAATGTTCATGCATGCGAAGATTATGAGGGCATCCGCTATGTTTGATGTAGTGTTTTTCGCAGTTGGAACGACTTGTTTTGTAGATGATGTTCAGCTTTTCTTTTGTCATTTCATCCTTTGGTTTGCAGTGATTTTGTTAGTTTGTATGCTACACCTATCCAGATAGGTTTCAGCAATCTTGTTGTAGTTTCTGATATGTTTTTTACATATGATAGGGTGATCCATTTGTTGGCTTCTGTACTTGACTTTGTTTCCGATGATGCATTTAGCTGGTATTATTTTATGAAGTTGATTGAGTAGCCGATCTTTTGAAAGATGGTCATCAAGTGTTTCAGTGTGTTCTCGCCCTCTTGAATAGGGTCTGTAGTCAGTTGATTTTTCGAGCTCTTCATTTGTTGCTACTGTAATTGAGAATTTCATTTGCGTTGGTCCTCTTCAGATATACTTGATTTCCAGTTTTCTTGCGTCGGCTCTGGTGATTAATACATCCAAGACTGGTAGATTGTTGTCTGATTCCTGTTTCATTACGAAGTTTATGCTATCGAAGACGTTTCAGATCAGATTATAGGTGTCTTCCAGCTAGTCCTTTTGACGATGATGAATGTGTTGTTCACATAACGAATCCCAATTTTTGTCTTGATCGCTGATAGGATCGAGGCTTCCAGTTTCTGCATAACTGTTTCTGAGATAAATACTGGTATTAGTGATACCATCAGCGTTCCCTTCATTTGTTCTCAGATTTTGTTGTTGAATTGAAAATATGTTGTTAGGCATAAATCTATGAGTTCTAGTAAATGTTGACTTTGAAGCTTTGTGTACTTTGCGAGATTTGTGTCGTTGTTGAGCAACGAGGACAGAGTTTCTTTTGCTAAGCGTGGTTCGATCGAGGTGAACAAGGCTATTACCTCGAATGATATCATCAGTTCATCGTTGTTGATTTGAGTATCCTTTATCTGATCCAGGAATTGGATAAAAGATTTGACGGAGTGATTGGATTAATCTATTAAATGTTTCAATATCCGTGAAAATTTTCTTGACAGATTGTATGTTGGAGTTCCGGAGAGTGGTACAACTGGACGTAGTGGAATGTTTGGTTTGTGTATTTTCGCATTGTACAGTTAACCATGGGCCAACACGGGCTACACTTCTATTGATCCACTATCTGCCTGCTTTTCTCTCTTCCCTTCCTTAAGTTCAAAGAGAAGTCATCAGACAGCTGCTTAAGTACATTTCACTCACCCAGCCTAACTAACAAATACAGCCAACAACCATATCAAACATCTATTAATTTATATACACGTGGTATTAGGCCAAATAGTATACCAAATAAAAAACCGTGCTTTAAACACAACAATGCGACAAGAAGCATACAGTGAAGCAAGCATTACGTTATCAATTGGTAACAATTAGGAAATAGAGGTAAGCGCAACGTCAACCAACAAATCCCCTGGAAGCTTACAGTGAGGATAGCATAGAGAGGCAATGATTAGGTCACTGACCAACTTTACAACGAAAATCTAAATCATAATAATCAGGAAAATGGTTCAAAAAGTTACAAATTGTCTGGTACTTGTCTTGCTTCAAATAATAGGACTAAGGGAGGTGAGATTGTAATTTATGAATGACCCTTGAGCGTGTCTACTTATCAACTAGGACTAAGTAAGGGTTATAAAGCAATGTGAGGAATTAGAATTATGATGTGCAATTGATGGTTAGGCTTAGGAACTAGATTTAGGGTTTTCATTCTGAACTGACATAAGTTATAATGCCGAAATGGTATTTAGCCAAATGTGTGGATGAATTTCGCGCTAAAATCCGAGATCTCAAGTCTGATTGGTTCGTCTTTAAAATGTAGTCTCGCCGCAACGTGTAGTATGCAACAAACTGGGCATTCAGTCACCCAAGTAAAGATTACCGTTGCACTTCTTGAGGCAACCGAAGACAAATTTTATACCAATGACCCAATACCTAAGCACGACCACACTTTGATTCATTATGACTTATCCCTGTCTGAAATGCTCTCCAAGCCGACTTGACGACATCCCTTTCAGCTGACAGCCTTATGGAGAGGCTCAATAACTCTATACCCACCTTTGGCTTGTAGCCTTTTCCGTACAGGAACTACGTATAGCGTGTGTCATTCTTCGCATTACTACCACCTACTGTTGCTTCCGTTTACATGTTATGATAAAACTTTTGTTTGTTCACATTTGTTGAATAAAGTATTCGTTCAGTAATCTTAACTGTCATCTTATCTCCGCTCCCCCACATTCTAGCTTCATAATCATCCAGATTGCAACAAGCTCATATCGCTCGCAGTAATGTGAAAACTGCCGATTCCAGCATACCGACTGCCCTAGATCAAACGGACTCGTTTATACACAATAAATATTAACCTGAAATCAGCTCTCACATATACTAAGAATAGTGCAGCTGAACAGTAAAACGACCCATAATGAATGATACCAAAGACCTTGAATCACATGCTAACATTGTAAAACGAGATCAAATATTATAAAACCCGCTGCCAAGATAGTGGATATTTGACTCAATGACATCACTTTCCAAAATTGTTATCTCTACAGTTACAAATAAATGAATAAAAATGAACGACGTATTTTACGTAAATTTACGTATTTACTTTAGTTGTCTTGAAATTAATGTTATAGGAATGACGTTGTTTCTCGATGCTGATTATGACTAATTATGAAGGTCAGTGGAAATATCAAATTCCTGCTTATGGTTGCTTAATTGTGGTTACTAAACATTTATCTAATAAGATATGAATTCAGTAAACGTTTTTAGATACACTCTAATCGCTTTAACTTTTCTACTTATTACCAACTCATCCATGGCTTGGAAGTCGAGCGGTAGCACACATACAGAACTTATAAACAATCTATTCAGTAATTAGACTTTCTCCTTAACATTTCAAACAGGAAATCGAGTAATTTCATCTGAGATTGTCAAGAATACTATGCTTTCCGTGGATCGTGGGTACTTTGCCAGATCGAATTCTTACGAAGACCGACCATCCTCTATCGGCTATGCCGCGACTATCAGTGCTCCTCATATGGTAAGGATGATGGTCCAAGTTATACAACACGATTATAATCCCAAAATCTAACAAAAACAGCTTATTTTACACAGTGTGATTATACAGTGGAGCTAGTTGGATTTTGAGTAGCATGCGACTGTCGAATTATTATGAATTTAATAGTTAGTTGGCGGTGCATTCTTTTCTTGTTTAAACTCTATCGATCTCTCTGGGAAGAGATAAACCAATAGTCCTATACTTTCAAATAGGGTTTCTCAGGTAAATAAACGTCTTTATTTCTAAGACCATTTCTGGTGTAATTGTCAGTATGAATTGGCCTAGCCAATCCTTAGTCGTTAGAATTTGTCATATTATAAACTTAACAACTCAGAAAACCGACTGAGTAATTCTGTAGAAATCCTTGTTCTTCGTAAACCACTAGGAAGCGAATGATCTCACATACTGTTTTCAGTTATTCGAATTGAACGGTTGTGATAAGGACGTTTGGTGAAACTTTAATGTATGAACGACCTTCGAGCGCTGTTAAAATGGCCCTAAAAATATTCACCTGCTTACTAGAGTTGAAAGAAAGTTATAGGTTAGTGCGAGGAATTATGGTTCGGAATTAGAGTTGGTGTTCTCAGTATGAACTAACATCAGCCATAACTTCAAAATGCTATTTAGCCATTTGAATGTGTGAATCTCGCGCTAACAGGCAAGACTTGGTGTCTTGAGTCTGATTAGTTCGTCCACAAATTGTAGTCTCGCCACTGTCTTGGATAATCAGTCTAAGACCGTTTGGTTTTCTCTATATCAGTTTATTAGGAATAGAATCTGTTGAAATTTCAAGCAATGATTAGCGACTTATTTGCGGTGAATCGACATAGTTAAACTTCCATGTACACCATGGAAGTATTTCATGGTATTAACTGTTTTAGAATTAAGTAATATGGAATACCTTCAAGCATTTTGAATACAGACTTTTCCGAAGCATCTCTAGGGTTCCTTAAGATTGTTATCGTGGAAGTTGTTTGAACCTTAAAATTATGAATTGTTTTGGCAAACTGGTTTACGTTAATCAGTTTAACCATATTTTTTATATACATTCTGTCGCATTGTAATATAATCTGATTAAGATGGCTACGAAAAATACGATAGCATTTATTCCCTGTAGACCTTTATATTGCTGATGGGTTCTCATTAATCCAGAAGTTTACTCTTAGTTTTTGATTTGGTTTACAGAGCCAAAACGACCTTACATGTGCTAAGGCAGTTCGTTGATATCTGTTAACCCAAATATATGTCTGAAATCTTGTCATGAAAAATCTGGTGGTTGTAGCGTTACACATAATATTGTAATTTTTCGCCAAAATTATTCATCACCTTAACGTGTTACTTCTCATTCTTGCGTTAATGGTTTTTATACTATTGAAGCGTCGGAACTTAAATCACTAGACTTTCGTATGAGTTTTGGCTAGTTGGAATATTTCAGATTGGATCTTCCGAAAATTATTTCTTCATCAGATTAGTATATCTTTGTTTCAGCCTTTGATTTTCGTGTAATTCAAACAGCCACTAAATCTTCGTCTTAGGATAAATTAACCCTCAAAATGAGCTATAGTACACTAACAAGCAAGACCAATAACCATCCGCGTAATTAATGTCCACAACTATCTCGTTTTCTAAATGAATGTCTTTTAGTTAAAAGAGGCTTATTGGTTGAAGAACTTGTCTTCCAACTAGTAAGTGGTGAGTTCAAATCCTCCATTCACAAAATAGTATCACGAGAAATGCAGCATAAAAATAATATTGGAATTATACCTGGTTAATAAGTCACATTGCACTAGAAGTTGAAGGGTTGGTATCGTAAAATGAAGTTTAGATATTTTTTAGCCGATCATTTTCGCGAATTTGCAAGTCTCTAAAGTCATAAGTGACATGAATGACTATTGAATTATCTGTGAATCAAAAAAGTATCATTACTCCTTACTTTCCACTAAGTATTGCACTGATCTTTTTCAAAATATCTTCATTCTCAGATGTTATCATTTTCGAACTCATCCGCATCGATCATTGGTTATACTGCAAAGTGTACTTATAAAGGTTAATTTCCTTAATATCTGACTCCAATAAATAATATCTCGTTAACCGAGTATTTAACACAGGCTAAATCTTCTAGTAGAATTATGAATTTACTCGGAATTATTCAAAAGCACGAACACAAGTTGTAGAGATAGTATAATGTTAGTGATTAGTGAAACTCCACAAGTACGCAGATATCCAGCACACAGGGAAACGAGTCAATGTTCAAAATCCATGTATATTTATGAATGTTAATTGGTTGTGGATAAATTATTGACTGACTGTGTGTTACAACCAATGAGAGAATAGATAAAATTGGTGTGCAGACACGCGCTCAATCAAACTCACACAAAATTTTACGCAGTGGATTGAATGTCTGAATCACAGTGAGCAGACAAATAATACAATAGTTGAATGGGCTTACTACATAAGCTCCCATCCAGAACACTGATGTTTTTTAAAATAAAACTTTTGGTAATATCTATATTCGATACAGAGATAAAAAAAACTATCTTTAAGATAATTGTACAACAAAATGTAGTAAGTAAGCGTTAAGTTGAAATGACAGCTTGTATGTGTTGCTACGTACCTATCTGGCCGGTTTACTGTTCTTCCTGATGTTGTAGTTTCTGTTGCTGCTGGACTTCGGTGTGAAGTATTGTTTATTTCAGTTAGTTTGTATAGTGCTTGCTCTGCTGCGGATTTAGACGATTTTATCATTGTCTGTTTTTTGGTGTGCTCTAAAAACGCTGGTTTTGCTCCATAGACTGCAAAAGTTTTTATAGCTCCATGTCGAGCTTTTGATGTTTTGCCATATCTTGATAGCTTATATCAGGGATTGAAAAGATATTAATATTTACTCTCGATAATGTATCTGCTGCATCGTTTTCCTTGCCTTTTATATGGCGTATGTCAGCTGCAAATTGCGAAATGAATCCTAGTTGGCGAATTTCGCGCGGATTATATTTGTCATGATTATGTATCAAGGATTTATTTGGAGGTTTGCGCTCAGTAAATATTGCAAAAGAATTGCCTTCTAACATACCGGAAGTGTTTGATGGCTAAATAGACAGCCAACAGTTCCCTACTGAACATGTTATATTTTGTTTGTGTTGCGTTTAGCTTTTAGAGATAAATGCAAGGTGTTGCCGTTGTTGGTTGACACGTCGCTGCAGTACAGCACCTATTGCCACATCAGAGGTGTCAATCATTACTTCCGAAGGTGCATCGAACTTTCTTCGTGCAAACAATGCTTCGGTGCTTAAGGCGTTTTTTAACTGTTCAAATGCTTGCGGTGCCATAATTAATGATTTAACGCGCCCTCTTAACAAATCAGTTAGTGGTTTCGTTATGTCAGCACATTTCGGAATAAAAGGTCGGTAAAAGTTGATCGTCTGAAGAGAACGTCGTAGTTTTCTGAGTGAATCGGGTAAAGGGTAATTTTTGATGACTTGTGTTCCCTCCGGAACTGGTTTGATACCTTGATTATCGAGTACGTGACCTAAAATGGTGAGGGGGTTGCTTTCCAAACTCACACTTCTCAGGATTGACTGCTAATCCATACTCGTTTAGCTTCTCGAAAAACATTTTTAGATTAGTTAAATGTTTACTTTCATCTTTGCTGTTGATAAGTAAGTCGTCTATGTGAGCGTATACAAACGGTAAGTCACGTAGCACTTGATCAGTAAAACGCTGGAAACTTTGTACGGCATTCCTTAGTTCAAAAGGCATGCGAATAAACTCATATAGCCCGAATGGGGTAAAATTTTGTGTGAGTTTGATTGAGCGCGTGTCTGCACACCAATTTTATCTATTCTCTCATTGGTTGTAACACACAGTCAATCAATAATTTATCCACAACCAATTAACATTCACAAATATACATGGATTTTGAACATTCACTCGTTTCCCTGTGTGCTGGATATCTGCGTACTTGTGGAGTTTCACTAATCACTAACATTATACTATCTCTACAACTTGTGTTCGTGCTTTTGAATAATTCCGAGTAAATTCATAATTCTACTAGAAGATTTAGCCTGTGTTAAATACTCGGTTAACGAGATATTATAAATTAACCTCTACATATATACTTGTGAGCGGTCGGTTTACAGTTTACACATTAATGACATTATTAAGATTAATCGACCGTCAAATTAATACCATCGTTAGTTTGTGTTTGTTGGTGCTGATTTAACTGCATCGATCAGCATAATAGCATTAGGTGTTTTAGTTTTTGAGAGTAAAATTTCTCAAGTAAACTTATTAGTGAGTTATTTTCAGTTCTGTGCACCATGGTATTTATTTCTGAGCATTACGAATGAGGGGTCAAATAAAAATAACTACCTATTTCGTTTAGCATTTTTCACCATCATAGAATAGTATGGTGTTAGGTTAATTCAAATGTTACGTACATTGGCCAATGAATGTGTGTTGACGTTGAATAAATAGTCTGTTACGTAACGGTCATGTCGTTTGTATATTTCAACATAGAACATTCACTTATTGATTTTTATTACTAACATCGCAACTAGTTGTTTAGAGGGTTGGGTCCTGCTTCATCTAATAACGTTTGTTCAATTAGGTAGTACCATTTGTTTGTTCAGTCCCTATTTCTCACAACCTTATAATATGTGTACTCATGAGTGCTGCTTCAGGTTGTTATTTATTTACCATCGAACTGACAATGTACTATCTCTGAGTTTTGATTAAGATCATGAATCGATCATTGTTAAACTAATATTGAAAACCTGAAGTTGTTCGAAAGCTTTACTTTCTATTTAATTTCTTTCTTAAAATGTTTAGCATGCTTATGCTCTGGAAGCATTAAGAGATCATCTTAAACCTGGTGCACATGCTTTAGATGTTGGATCAGGTAGTGGATATTTAACGGCGTGTATGGCTCTTATGGTAAGTTTATCTCGCTTTATTGAGATATTATTGTCATATCATGTCATCGTTTTATATCCTTCACTTATAAAGTGAATATCATGTTTATGCATATACAATATGTATGCTTCCCTTACTCTCATTCCATATAATTTCACTAGTCTACCAAGTTCATTTTTGTGTACTAGACTTTAAGCTGTATTTATTATGAGTAGTTATACTATCTGGCTCTTCACAATCAACTAAATGGTATAAAGTGTGAACCTAAAAGAGCAAGTGTTCCAACCAACATAGCTCTATTGAGTCATCAAGACAGTAAGACTTGACCATCGCGTCAAGGTAGCAGCTACAGTTATTACGATACCAACTACTGATTGTAACCATGAGGTAGTTACTTTTTTGTTCGACAACATAGTAAATCCCTTTGTTAAACTTAAGTGCTTCGGTATAGAATTTCATCTAATTAGAATAAACATCGGAATAGTTCTTTCAAATTACTATCTGTTATAACGTGGAAATAATGCTGCTGAAGGATTAAGGGATAGCGAATTATTGATCGGACCAAAGACGCACAAACACGTAGAACGACCTTGGGTTCTGATTGGTCTCGCTCCCCTGTCTAACCCAGCCAGTTGAGTCCAGAACACAAGTCACAGCCTCGGATATATGAATCATTATATTTCAAACATACTTGTTTATATACCATTCAAGCAGTCCACAACGTACCATAAAATAGAAGATAACATTGTACAATAATAGCCAGTAGGAAAATGACACGTTAAATAAATACTGACCAATAAGATGATACTATTTCATGTCCAAGGATAGCACTAGGCTTAACAGGATAATTTTTGGGATATTTTCCTGAATATCCCAACACTATCTCAGAAAGCTGATATTGATATTTTGGAGGTCATAATTGATCCCAGCTGCCTAATTTAGTATGTTATCAACTTTTGTTACAGATGAAAGGAATTTCATTTGGTGACTTATAACACTGACTAATCGATAATTACTCTTAAATATCGATTTCTTTCCTTTTATGTATCAGTAAAAAAGTGCATACTCGTGTACTATTTTTCGTGGAAAGGTTAGGGACATTAATATACTGTTCAAACTTTAATAGTATTAGTGAGTTTGAACTTTCGCTCCACTGGTTTAATTAATTCAACTACGAAGCAGTTACTTCATATCATTATCAATAGGCATCATTTCAAATAGATCAATAGAGTATAGCTATAAAAAACAACTGTACAAATATAAGTTCATGGTTATAGTACTAATTCTAATAAAGCATCGTCATTACTTTCTATTTGTTTGTTTCTTATTATATCCTTTCAGCTTCTTTTAATATACTCCTATATGCCTTTGGATATTGTGACGATTCAAACTGATATTCTATATAGTTGAAAGGGTTTGGTGTAGAATATTTTAATTTGTAAGCTATATTCTCAAATCTATCTCAGTTAGTTTACTATTAAAAACCAAGGGATACTGAGTATCTGTTTTTATCTTAATATGGGACTCCTCAGCGGCGCCCATCTACAACCCTACTAGGGGTTAAACCCCAGAATCGTCAAGTCTCACAGCAAATGCCGAACCATCAGAACTACTGGGTCAGCGTTCAGCGGTATTATTCGGAATATACAAAATAACCCAACGATTATTCATTGCCACTAGTGACAACTGTTTCTGTTATTTGGTAATTGTTTCTAACTTAGTAAGACATAATAAAATGAATGTTTTTATACATATTAAAAAGTTTGGTTAATATAATAAACAATTATAATTATAACCTAAAGACTGACAGTTTTATGAGTGTTAAATAATTCAGTATTGTTGAATTATTGCAGTTATGGATAGTCCCATCATTTTTTTTCAGGAAACTTTATTCTATAGATTAAATTTATCGTAAAATATTCATTTGTTTTATGTTCTCTAATTTTGATATTAAGGTAGGCCCTACAGGTGTTGCTGTAGGCATAGAACATATTGATGAGTTGACTAAATTTTCTCTATCAAATGTTGAAAATTGGTTTAATCATAGCCAAAATGCTAGATTATCTGGAATTGAATTAGGAAAACAACTTAAACTTGTTACTGGTGATGGTCGTGAAGGATGGCCGTCAGATGCACCTTATGATGCAATTCACGTAGGTGCAGCGGCTCCAGTTATTCCTAATGCAGTAAGTTCAGAGATATATTTTGTAACCTAAAATTCATGAACATTAAAAAGTTATGTTTCTGGATGTGTGTTCACTTTTTATTCATATTAACTTGAATGTTATTAGTTGATGAATAACTCATCCTCTTAACTGACTACTTCCTTCAGTTTGGCACAATCTTACAATGATCACCTCTATCTATTAAACTATGATTCATCAGAGGCTGAATTTTTGAGAGTGTTTATAAAATATGCATTTAATCAAATAATTATTATGTATTACTCGAGATCTATGCAATAACAACAATCAGTGATTGGAGACGTTGAGTGGCATTTCTCACAATCTTTCACAGTAATACAGGTGTATTCACTCTTTATTTTCCTCTTGATCTTAAGTTCCAATATTCCTTCACACATACACTTTCATCCCTTCTTGAACAGTATTTCAAATCCTTAATGTTTCTCTCTATTATTGCTACTCATCTTTTTAAATTCATTTGATCGTGCTAATGTGGAGTGACCAGCTGACCTTGCCGACATTTGTAGCTTGCTCTACATTGACTTCAACCCACTGACTGATGTGTTTTCCTCATTTTTTTAATATCATTTTTATATTTATTAATTTAGCTAAAAGAACAATTGAAAATTGGTGGTCGTTTAATTTGTCCTGAAGGACCAGAAGGTGGAAATCAAGCATTAGTTCAAATTGATCGTTTGCAAGATGGTTCCTTTCAAAGAAAATCTTTAATGGGTGTGATTTATGTTCCGTTAACCGATAAAGATCGACAAGTTGGGCCAAGGTAAGACTTGGATTTTTTTGAAAGATGCCCATATATATCAGTAAGTATTTCAATCATACTAGAAGTCAGCTGCTACTCAAACAGTTCAATGATAACGTCTGAGACTGTGAGCTGGGTTAAACAATATTTGTGTTAGGAAAATTAGCTTATTTCGTTTTCATTTGACCGGGACCGAATACATTGGTAGTTAAAACATTTAGGCAATAGATTATTATTATTATTATTATTATTATTATTATTATTATTATTATTGTATTGCATATACATGTTTACTGTTTACATCTACAGGGAAATTTATCCATGACATAATATGATTACGCATATATGCACCCAACAATGGATTGTTGTTTTATATTATTCTAAACTTTTTAATAAGTCGATTGAAATAACTACTATTAAGTATCTAACGGTTTTAAGGTGTTCAACATATTTGAAATTATTTTTTTACGGCTAGTTTTTCTTTCCAAGTAGTATGTAGATTGTAGGTGTAGTGTTAAAATAGAGAGTTCTAAACTAAAATAAAACACTTGTCCAATCCTCTCTAGTTTTCAATGGTTACCCATTAAAGTCATTGCATGATGTAAATTATCTCCAAAGTCATTGATATATATATCCCATACCTCGACTCATGTTATTAACTGGTGTAAAAGTTGGAAGAAAGTTAGTAGTGGCCAAATGAAGACGTGGCATCAATCCACGAAGTCATTGACTGTTGAATTAAGCCGTGGCCAGTGGCGATCCTGCTGTAACCTTCTTTTACTTTCTTCATAAAAAGTGGTTGTGTCTCCCTTACCTGGAAGATTTCTTCTGATTGTACCTTTCCGTTTCCTCATTACTACCACACTACCTTACACCAATCTCTTCGTTATTGTTCTCTTTTTTTTGCGCTCCTTAGCTTTTGTTTTTCTATTTCTCTTCGAGTTCTCATTGTTTTGTGTGGCGCATATATATTGGCGCTCTCTTGTACCAATATTCATGTGTTCAAATAAATAAATAAATAATGTTGTTAAGTACAGATCACCTGGTTGGTATTTGCACGATCATAGTGACCAAAAATTGTGTAGACAATTGGGTGAAATGGCTCAGAATTTATCATAATGCCTAAAGTGCATTCACCATTTATCTTCTTATAAACTTCGAGTTCTAGTATTCCTCCATACATGCGTTTTTTAATTCCTTTATTGAAATCGTATATTAAGTATTTAGCCTTTCTCATTATCATTTTTACCACATTATTTTGACTCCACTATTTATCTAAGTAATTTCATGTCATCGTGTGGATATGGTATAGTAATTTAAGCTGGCGTATATATATATATATTAGCTATGAGTATCGTTTCTTCAATCCAAGAATTCCTATCTTTCTACTTTTTCAATTTGCATATCAGAGTTGAATACATACTCCTTTTTTGGCAAGTTATGTATATTTCCATGTCATAATATCTTATTTTGTTCAAAATGTGAGTTAATTTGACAAGTATTCATAACAAACATATCACTGTCTGGTGTTTTGTTTTTACGCATACACTTTTTCGAAATCTTCTGATAAACTCGAAATGAAATATATTATCCTATATCATCGTACTCGTCCTTGCTACTCAGAATTCAAACTTTCCGACTCAGTTCATAGTTAAATGCACCTAAGTTAATAAGTCACAGATCATCTCGAAAAGTGTAAAAAAAATGCGTTGGCGGACTTTTGAATTTTACTGCTTGCTGTTTTTTTTTCTATTCGGAAATCACTAATCAGGATGCCTGTAGATAAAGATCCTAGAGTTACAAAATCAACTGCATATTTGTACCAACCTCTTACACTAATGGTAATCATGTGCTTACTGGTGATTGATTTAGAGAGGGGATTCCAAGAGTTCTAGTGAGAAGTTGTAATCAGGGGATTTGAGGAAGTTACTCACCAATGGCAATAACGCGAATTTATTAAAGTTAGACATGCTAGCTGGTGATATCTATCCAAAAAAGGATAAATTACCTAAGTTGATCTTAGTGTTCATCTACAAATTCAGCTCCTGCAGAGATAACTATATTGAGTGTACTACCAGACAACTTGACCAATCAATAAGTGAATACCTCTCAGCTTGGTTTGGAAAGGACCAGAAAGAGACAATACATATCTCTATCTTGCCACACTTGGTTGACAGTGAGCATATTGCAGTTATGTAATCTACTGTATTGTGATCACTAACTCACAAATTCCATCGATTAGTTTAAAAAACTTAAGCATAAATATTAAAGTGGAGCATGCTAACGGTCTAGTTGAAAGCAATATATCTGTGTTGTTCTAATTTTCACAATCGGAATCTCTAATATTTTAAAACCTTAAAAATACCCATATTCATTAAAAATGCACATAATCGGTCTGGAAAATCTTTTGCAAAGGAAATGAACTGTCGACAATGTACCATCGGTAATAAAATCACAATTCATGGATTATATTAAAGTTGTTGCGAAAATTAATCCCGAGAAATTAGGGACAGAACTAATGAAATCACTCGAACATCAAAAACCAGAAAGAAAGTTCCCTCTTGACCCGGAGCGGTACGTTCATAATTTTCCCAGTGTTTTCAAATTCATTTTCAAAGCGGAACTTAGATAGGAAATGGATGATTTCTGTAGATGTTGCTTCCTTGATCATCAGTGTACGATTAACCGAGACTATTGATTTTGTGAGTCAACAATTACTTGAAGAACAGATCAGTATTGGAATTTCCCAAATCAGCCTCAAAGAATTACTTCTGAAATGTACAATGAACGTTCATTTGTCTTTAAAAATACATATTATAGATAATTTGATGGAATAGCGATGAATCTATCACTAGGTTCTATCCTTGCTGATTTATTTCCTATGAATCTGGAGGGCGGACCTTTCAAAGAGTCTATTGATGAGACTGAGTTTTATTGCTGCTACATTGCTCAAACTCATTATCGTCGATTAGAACATCGAAAAGAAGTCTTATAGCTACTTAACAATGAACATTCAGCAATCAAATTTACGTGTCAAGAGGAACTTGATGACAAACTACATTCCCTCAACACTTTGTTATACAGAGAAGAAAGTGGATTTATCGGTAGAAACGTGTATGGGAATTGTTCTTCAGTACACACACTTTTCGGGCCTTATACCCATTCATTATAACAGAAACCTAGTTAAATGTCTTGAAAATGGAGCTAGGAAGATATGCTTAGACAACACTATAAACAAGGAACTAGAGCTTAATCATAATATGTCGATTAAAATGGGTTATCCACAAGGTTTTTTTAAAAAACACTTGCATGTAATAAACAGGAAAGTAGAGACATTAACAGTTCGTAAGAATCTTCCTTTCCTGAAACTGCAATTCAGCGGAGATATAGCTGGTGATGTGCTATTGATAGACTGACTAGAGCAGTGGAGAGAACGTTATCAATCTGTTGTGATTCCTCAAGTTAGGGATAAGTTACCTGGTTCTGCCACATGTGTGTACCTACGATTTCAGCAGCTCTTGTAGAGAAATCTATATTGGACGTATAACCGAACAAGTAAGCCAGCGAGTTAGTGAACACCTCTCTTCGTGCTTACGAAAGGGTATCGTCATAACCATATGCAGCGCTGTTCTGTCACACTTGATCGATAGCGCTCATGTAGTACATAGAAATAGGCCATGTAAAGTAATTTACCATATCCCTACACGTTTTCTTTATGGGGTTCGATCTCATCTTTTACACATAGCAGAAGTTATAGGAATTCGAGCTAACAACCCAAGTCTCTGTATTCATAAAAAATTCGCAACATCTCTATCTCTTCCTTGGCCAAATTAGTCTTAATAAAAGGTTTTATTTGTTATTTTCCATACTCTTTGTTCATTAACTTTTCTTTACTCCCCAACTTTTTCGAATATACGCACTACTGTCCAATTATCTGAACAATTCTCATTACGTATTCTTATAGTTTTTATGAAAGTCACTTCAGCGAATATATATATATATATACCATCTAAAGGTTAATTGCTCGCCACAAGGCTTAAAGGTCTCGGGTTTTTTCCCGGATGGAGTTTGTGGACGCGCACTGCAACGCCAGAATTACTATAGGCCTTTTTAGGTACTTATATAATTCATTAATTAAGTACAGATTTGCCCATTATTATTATTATTATTATTCAATAGTTGGAAATCGAGTTTTAACCATTTGATCACCGCTTTGATAATAAAGGTTATCTTCAACGTTTTTAGTGTTCACTACGTTTTATGTATTCACTATTTACAGACATTTTTTCGTTCATTTAGTAGGCAAGTGCTGCTACATTTTTATACTAAAGACTCTTAGAATCTGCTTAATAATTAACTCAGAATTAGGACGAAAGTGTACAGTAATAAGCCTCAAGGAATCACTTTAACTAAACTTGACTTATAAATATTATTCATCAGTGAAATTGACCGAAAAAAGTAAAACAATATCACCAGTTAATTTATGGCTCTCCTTTTTACCGAAGTTCTTTTAATTTGGATAATACGTTTAAACCAATAAGTGAAAAATTCGCCGCATAACACACCTGAAGCCGACTAAATCGAGACGACTATTTCGGCTCTCTGAAATATTTATATATTAATATTTGCTAGTGTCCTGTTATCTAAGTCAAATGGTTTAGTTGTGAAGCTTTTATTGTTATTCTGGGTAACATCTTCAACGCCTACGTTATATAGACGTGACATTTTCAATTACTCGCCAAGTGTTACATCACTTGATTTCGATGATCTATTTTGATTGACTGTTATACAAAGACTCGTAGCTACAACTCTACCAATAATTTCGACACGTTTTGTCAGTGAAAAATTCGTTATCCTGAAGAGAGGGGAAGTTGAAATTACTCATAAATCGATTGATAACAATTTCAACGACATAAAATTTACCAGAGAAGAAGAAACAAAAATTTTCATTCTTAGACGTTTTAATTAACAGAACAAACACAAGAACTTTGGGAACCAAATCACGCTAATGAGTTATTAAACTACGACAGTAGCAACACAACACTACACAGAATAGTTATATTCGGATACTTTAAAGAGACCAAAGTTCACTACAGTATTCGCGCGACACGAAAAGTTGGAGTAGCTAATTTTCAATCTGTCTTCCGTAGAACGACTGCTACAGCAATATTAAAAGGTGTTTAGCGAACAAACATATAATCAAAAAACGAACCCTGGGAACTATTGAACAGATCATTCTACCCATATAAAAGACATATTTAACAAACCGTTACAAGAATTCTAAAACCGTTTAAAATCAGATGCTCAGAAACCAACTCAATCACTTCATTCCATTCTGTGTAGACTAAAAGATGCAACAAGAAAATTATGATCAACAAAATATCATTTACAAAATATGTTGCACCAACTGCGAGTAATATTAAGTTGGACGAAGTGGGCGCTTTGTTCATCTATCCATAAATGAACACTGACTAGCAATGTGAAGGTATGCTGTGCTATCCTGATATCAATATGTGCAGACAGCCATGGACATTAACTGGGTTTAAGGGACGTCGAAATTCTGCATTGTGGGAAATCTAAGAATGCCAGAGAATTTCTAAACATTGTTTTCAGACCAATTGTCAACCAACAGATACATTGACGTAGACTCAATCTATGGATCTATATAGGGAGAGGTCAATTAATCACAAGGTTAGAGGCTAGCTGACGAAGACAGTCGACGTGAATATAAGGATAAATGAAGACAACAGCCAATCACAAACTGCCATCAGGGCGAGCTGATATAAAACCTGTAAAATAACTGAAAACCTTACTTCTACATGAGGTAGGCCCTGGAGATGCTGTCAATAATGGGAAAAATAGCTCAGAAATCAAACTATTTTGCTCAGAGAACACTACATCGAAAGCGTCAACCTAAGCTTCGAATATGAATATATATATATATATATATATATATATATATATATATATATATATATATATATAGGTTCTGCAATGAATAGTAATTAGCTTAGTTTAAAAGGAGCTTATATTTGAGATGGTAAACTTAGCTACATTAGTCAACTCGTATCACAGATAAACACCAGTTCAATTTAGTCTGATATGTGAATGGGTGTACCGAGGAAAAGTTTACAGTAAGACAGACTAATTACTCATGAGTAATACAGTTGTAGTGTACACAAATCTCATAAAAAGTTGTAATCCAGTATTACTAGTCAGTTTTTCCTTTGATTATATTTTGCCCTTACTAGCATAAGTTTCGTGGAGGTTTCAGATTTCTAATAGATTAGATCATGAACTGATAATGAGCTAGACAACCTT